TCGGCAAAGTACAACAATAATATGGCTCGGTAGAATTACTGGAACATGCTGTTGTCTAATAAGTGCAGAGCATAAGGTGAAGGAGCGTAGATCCATCTGCCAATTCAGAAATGCCTCTAATTAGCTCTTATCAGTTACCTAACATTCTACTTCTGGCTATATTTTGTTTACACGAGGAAACCAATTATCCCATTACTAGCCAGTATATGTCAAGCAAATATAACATAATACAGTCCTATATTTTAGAAGTGTAATAATTAGAAATCTGAACGATTGCCAGATTTTGCTGAAATAAATAAGAGCCCTTCTATRACTGCGCCATGTGCACAATGCTTCCACTTAGAGGAACAGCCTAGGGCACAGGGAATGTGCATTGGTATTCTGCAAAGAACTGGAGTCTTGTGATACCAGCAGTTGTTTAAGAAAAACACACACTCAAAAATTAGAAACTTTGACTAAAATTGTTTCTGAACATAACATATTTACCTATATGCTTTAAAAAATATATAAATTATACATTTATGTATGTTACGTGTATATATATTTCCATAATTAATAATTAATAATAATTATGTAATATTGGAATTGATATATTGGAATAAATAATTCCAACAGGACCCATGGATTTATTCACTTATTTTAACTTGCATTTGTTCTGCAGGTCTGAAGGATTTACATTTTAAAACCTTTTCTACATCCTCATCCTAAAGTTGATTTCAGATCCTAAACTATCTTTTTTCAACACATCATTATCCTTTTAATGTATATTCAGGTCTTCTCTTTGTTTTTTTGGGGGGGAGTGAAAATCAGGCAGTATACACAAAATACCTATATCCATAAAAGATACAAGAAATCCTTCTGGACAGGCACTTATTGAATTAAATTTATTTTATTATCCATAACATAAGAAAATGACACCTGTAGTGTTTCACCCGTTTAAGCTGCTGAAGCTGGGAATTTACCTTCCTTTTTAGACTGAGTGACACCAAGATTTTGCTACAACATTTCACAGTATCTGCAGTGAGACCACAGTGTCCATGTACCTACCACGTTCTTGGTGCTCCACTACTAGATGAAAACTGGATTAATAGGGGATTAGATTGCTAACATTGAAATATTTTTCATGAAGACTCTTCAAATCTATCTTTCCATAGCTGTAGAAACAAGGAAGCATTTCTCATTTTAATGAACAACAGGTATACTTTAGGCATATGAACACTAAACATACAAATGGGCAATCCTGGGATTATTTAGTCTGCTGAAAACTGTGAGTTTCTCTTACAAATGATAAAGCTGCAGGACCCATTAGCATGTAATTTGTCCTGCACGCTGATCAAAACAAGAAGTCATTAAGTAAATAACATAGCATCAGTAAGAGCATCCATAAGGAGATTTTGCAGAAGCTAGAAGTGTAAAACACAGTCTAACTGTATTTTGCAAGCAGGTAAAACAATGACTGTTTACAACCCAGCACTATATTTTATACTGTTATTTTTAAAGCTGAATTTAACACTATCCAACACTAGGAATATGCACTGCCTGTAGTACAAAATCACACGGCTATTTACCATCTTTTAGCTTTTGTAGATTATCATGAAGGGAGAGGATTACTCCTTAGCTACTGCAGCTCTTTGAGGCTTGTCCCTGTGCAATCACAATTACAGGATTAAAGGATGTTGCCGGAGAAGAGGGTTAAGMAACTCTCTTGCAAGGGTAGTGTCAGAGATGCTACTTATATAAATGACCAGCTCAGTTTCTTCCCCCTAGTTGCCAGAGTCTAAAATAGGAAAAAAACTTGCAGTTAGCAAGAGTATAAACTGATGGATGAATGACAATTTGAGGAGGAGAGTTACTAACAGGTAATATTTTTCTTCCTTGAGTGCTTCTGTTCAATCCCATTCACATGGTCCAGCAAAAACTGCCCCCATGGAGGTAGCAAAAATGAACCGTAGCACCACTTTCCTGCACCACGTATCCGAATGTGATGCCAACGCCAACAAATGACAACAATTATCATCAGAGTCATGTTTGTATACTATTATATTTCAGGTCTAATAGTAAACCTAAGAACATGTAGGTTTTCCATTTATTCACAGCACAGATGGCAGCAGCAGGAGTTTTCACCACCTATCCCAACGTTTGCAATCACACTCTTATGGAAAATCTAGGGCAATTTAAAAATGAGGAAAGTTAGCAGGCTTGATAGGAATAGAACAGTTCTTAAGGGATGAGTCAAAGTAGGATGTTTACCAGGGTTTTGCCCCTTCCTAGTGCAACTCTTTATGTAGGATGCTACTGTTTAGGAAGTTTAATAAATTAGGTATAATGAATAGTGACAAAAAGGATAAAAAAAACACACAAACACCCACTACAACCACTGAATACAAAACTGATCTAACCAATAAACAGGAGGCGCTTTCAAAAAATGATTATATCAATATCAGACTGTATCAAAACTCTTCGCCTGCATTTAAAAGCTCAAAGAAGAATACCTACATCAATCTTACCCTTAGGACTCCAAAAAAACACATGAAATTATCTGCCATCAGTCCCCCAAAATTAGCAAACACAGTCTCCCATTCCACCACTCCCAGAATTTGTTGGATGTTCCCAGAATCCATAGACAAAGGACTACTGGCTGGAAGATGAGACTCAGTTAGAAGGACTCTAAGGAGAATGTGAAGAAGTCATCCTGGTAACTGATTGGTGACACTCCATGTATTTAATAATGGGGTCCTTATAAAAWAACTTGTAGGATTAACTAAAAAGTCCCCTGATCCAGGAGTGTGAAATGTTGAGAAGTCCCACTCATCTTAAAACTGAAAATGCCCAAATGATTATCTGCCTTTTTTGACCRTTCTAACCATTCTCCTACCACAAACTGTTTCACTTCTTAAACCCTGGTATCTACAGAAACATTAGCACCATGAGAAAAATAATTCTCCTTGTGATTTTTTACTGTCATTGACTGAAAAGATCATTTTTGGAGTAATAAATTAGTGCCCATGGCTGACTTAGCCCTTTGCCTTCTACACGGAATTGCCACATATTTCAATGTGAACATAATTCTATTTGAAAACAGGTTAAGATCAACAATTTATTCCAGGCAGATAAATAAACTGTTGTTATATAAGAACTTGCAAGCACTGTTCAGGTTTTTGAAATATTTATGCAATATGTTTTCTTTTTCCAAATTAGATCAGATCATTGTCAGAGCTCAATGACTGAGAAAATGCCATATTGACATAAGCTACTTTCTCCCATAAAACATAGATTCATAACCTTTAATGTCAGTAAGGATGATTAGATTATCTAATGTGATCCACTGTATCATGCAGGGACAATAATTTCTACTACTTTTCCCTTTATAGAGATCAATAATGTGTTTTCTATTGATGCCTGACCTGAGGAAGCATCTGGGGTGACTTAGGTGCCTGACACCAGCGCCCAGCTCCATGGTAGATGCCCTAGATTTTTGAGGCATCCATATGGGAAAACTACAGGAAATCTCCATTCCTCTGGCTTGTCAGCTAGTAGTCTGCTTGGCCTGGGACCACATCTAACCTATGGTTAGATACCCAATGAACTGTCCTAGTCCATATCAGAAGATGAAATGATATGCAGATTGCCTTGATTTCTTTGATAAGTTTGTTTCAGTGGATTTTTTTTTTTTTTTTGGCTGGTCTTGTTAATGAACTCTAATTATTACTTGACTGGACATGAAATGTATGCGATATTTTAATACTTGCCTCTGAAACACTGCGTAACAGGTGTGTAAAATTGCCCATTAACACCAATGCCACCAACTCTATATCTATTTATTGCTTTTGTGGCATATTATGATAAAGCAGAATCTCTGCTTTAAGGGGTATGTCATCCACTTTTTATATATATCCTTCATTCTTTGCTGTTATAGTCTTGCAGGTAGTGATATTTATATGTATTTTATCTGAATGGGCCCAGATCAAAAAATGAGTATTATGGGTATTATATACCAAACTTGTGCTTATTATGAGTTACAATTCCACCAGCCTAGGTGACATAGCAGATGTATCACAGAGTGATTTTATATTTACTCCTAGATCACAGATAAAGGTTTAATTGGATATAATAAATTTCCCACGACATTTTTTGTATAGAAGTTTATAGGGAAGTATAACCTGTGAAACAATTCAATATTATGGCTCAAAACCAGTTTAGGAAATTTTTCATCCCCTGTAACAATCGATTTTAAGAATAACTGGCCTAAGAATCTGCTTTTTTTTCTCCTTTCCTATTAAATTCCATGAGCTTTCCCTTAAGGACTAAGGGTGGTACACGCCATAATGAGAGCTCTGACTATTTCCAGATTTGGATAAAGTCTATATACTGGTAAAAGGCTAATGATTCTGATCTCTCTTAGGAAGTCTGCCTCCTCTACAGATAATTCTTTATATCTCTAGATAAATCCTTTTTTAAGTTTTACAGAATTTGAAGAATTACATACAGTAAATATTACAAATACAATAAAAGCATCATTTCATGCATAGCTGTCCAGCTTTCCAGCCTAGCTGTCAGGAAACCTATGGGATTAGCTCCAAAATACAAAACAGGAGGGTTGGTTGAGGGCCATGGAGGTGGTAATARCTCTGCAGTGCAGTAAATATAGCTTTACATTCAACAGCTTGAGTTCCTTGCATGACTTAAGGGCTGGAGAGTCACAGATGATCTTCAGAGAGTTCTGTTCAAACTGGCTGTTTTACCAGATGCATAAAAAGCTAATATTTGAGAAGGTGCATGGAACAAAATAAGGGATTCAATTCTCAGACTGTAATTCAGCGAAACTCTATGGGCATGAATGTATCCCAGAGTCATGAGCAGCTCTAGCTGATCACAGTGACTAGAAAACAGCAATATCAGTCCAGATTGTGAAATTCTAAGGACCTAGGCAGAAATCAAGAAATCTGGCATGCAGTAACACTATACATTTTAGAGCTATTCTTTTAAAACTGTTATCTTACCGAACACGACCATCTGTGTTCCCTCTGGGAAAGGTTCTACCATTCTGTTTCCATTGACGTGATGTTTATCTGAAAGGAAAAACAAAACAGTGAAGGCAGAATGTAACAGAACATATACTTTGCATAAAAACCCAACTGTTCTTTCTTCTTGAAACCCAACTGTTTTTTCTTCTTGAAACCTGAACTSTGATTTATTAAAGAACACGGGTGCAGTTCATTGGCACCTGGAATGTTATCCTCTCCTGGAGGGTATCTCCAAAGCAGCACTCTCAGCAGGACCCAGGATTTAAAYCRGAGTTGTATYTCAGTTTCATGGTGAGGACAAGTTACTAGTGTCATGGGTACTGAAGGGCAAGTTCAAGGTCCTGCACTTGSGGAGGAATAACCCCGGACACCAGGACAGGCTGGGGACTGACCTTCTRGAGAGCAGCCCCGCAGACAGGGACCTGGGCGTCATGGTGGATGAYGAGATGACCATGAGGCAGCAGTGTGCCCTGGTGGCCAAGCAGGCCAACGGGATCCTGGGGTGCATTAAGAAGAGCGTCTCCAGCAGGTCGAGGGAMGTGATCATCCCCCTCTACACAGCCCTGGTGAGGCCACATCTGGAGCCTGTGTCCAGCTCTGGGCTCCCCAGGACAAGAGGGATGTGGAGCTGCTGGAGAGAGTCCAGCGCAGGGCTACGAGGATGATCAGGGGCCTGGAACATCTGCCCTAGGAGGAAAGGCTGAGGGAGCTGGGCCTGTTCAGCCTGGAGAAGGCAAGGCTGAAGGGGGACCTGAGCAGTGTCTATAGATACCTCAAGGGAGGAGGAGGGGGCGGCCTCTTTTCAGTGGTGGCCAGCGACAGGACTAGAAGAGACGGCCACAAGCTGAGGCACCAAAAGTTCTTTKGGGGAAACTTTTTCTTTTGGAACTTGGGGAAACATTTCTTGATAGTGAGGGTGACAGAGCCCTGGAACAGGCTGCCCAGAGAGGTTGTGGAGTCTCCTTCTCTGGAGATCTTCCAAACCCGCTTAGATATGACCCTGYGCCACATGCTCTAGGCGACCCTGTGTGTGCAGGGAGGTTGGGCTAGATGATCTCTAGAGGTCCCTTCCAACCTTAAGGATTCTATGACTCTACGGTATATGGGGAGCAATTGAGAGCAATCCCTGCCAAGCACACTTTCCCCTTGCAACCAGACAAAGCAGGGAAAACATAATTCTCTGTCACTGCTGAGACATGTTGGTGTTCAATCACAAGCCTTTGGACATGATCACACATGAACTGTGTTTGCTGCACTGGGGATCCGTTAACTAAAATAAATATTCCCACAACTTACTCTAATGCCACATCCATTCCAAGTCGAGCATTTATAGTTGTTTTTGTTTTCACTCTACAGTGCTCACACCTTGTTTTAAGACTATTAAATCATTGCCATCATTAGAAACCAAGTTATGAATGAAATTGAACTGCTATTCCATTAACTAAAGCTAAATCAAGAGGGGAGAGGAAAGGACATAGGTTTGTTTTTCACTATCTCATGGATCATGAAATGTAAGACTGAGATCAGTTCCACCAAAATGCAGAGCACAATTTGTTCACCACAATCTGGTGCTGCAACCCAAGTATCTTCTATCTCCATCCATGCCTCTGAAGTGAACTGTTTTCACCTAGGGTATTTCCTTTATGCTATGATCAGATTTCTTCCCGCGTGCTTAAAAAATGAAATTTATGACAATAAATTATCAAAACTGTACCTGTTATTTCCACAGCTTCTGAAAAGCTGCTGTGTTTGAGGCTTACTTGAGTTAAAAGGTTTTTCTGGTCACTATGTCTACCCATTCTCAGCAGAAAAAACCATCTCTACAGAGGAGCTAGACTTGGGGCAATCTTGTAAGCAGATAACTACCATGAGCTCTAATTTAAGGCCAAGTTATATATCCTTGGGCAAGTACACTGAAGAAAGCCAAAAAACAGAACGTTTATAAATAAATCTATAAATGCATGTGCATGGAAGCCAAAGACTGAAACTTTCAATGTTAAGGGATTGAACACATACAGGAAAGTACAAATTTCTGGCATTGCTGTCGTTCACAGTGGTAATTTCTATGCAAGAAAAGGATAAAACCCTGCCTTTATTCACTCCATGCCAAGAGGGCTTGCATGGGCTAGAAACCTACCCACTTTTCATGTCTCTTTGGAACAAGATAGTCTTTACATCCCAATATACATTCCTTGCATCCTAATGTACTTTCCTCAGCACACAGAGATCTCCTTGGGATAGCATGAACTTATTATAGCATAACCAAGAACATATGCATAAAGTGAGCTCCAAATAATATAGAATATTCATGCATTTTCACTTATTTTATAGAGCATATTTTCACTCATTTTGACAGATATCATCATCTTCATTTCCAGACAACATATATCTAAGAGTCAGTAGTGGCTGAAAGGAATAAAATAACTTGAACTGAAAAAAAAAAATAGGTTTCTCTTCACTGACTACTTAGCTAAGGGATTTCCATAGCATRGCACTACTTTTTTTTCTCATAGTAGAGACCTGAAAGGCCGGGATTACAAATTCTCCAAGAAGAGATTTCTCATTCACGGGGAGGTTTCTCGTAGCACTAATTCCAGCTGGCATCAAGCATTTATTAACAGATAATGAGGGGTGAAACCAGGGCTATTTGCAATTGGAGCAGGAGAACATATGAAGTTAATCATTTAAATTTAGGAAGGTTGAAGGTCCCATTCCATCCATTCAAGTTAGGAGAGGGGCTTCAGCGAGGAAATTGTTGGGAGTTTCCAGAGTGGGAGTTAAAGGTTTCAATCTTTGCAGCTATCAGCTTGTATTACCAAGGTGATCTATAACCATCTGAGATAAACAAACCTATGGAGAAATTATGACACATCATGCGAGATTAAATAAACGAACCCTCCGCTAATCCTGACAGCTGCCTTCATTTGAGGAGTGAGTGACGCAAATGATATGATGTATGAAATAGATATCATTTCAGCTGATGTAGTTTTAAATATGTTAAAATTAAACTCTTTTAGAGACGAGAAGTGCTTGAACAAAAACGCTCTTTTCGCAAGTCATTTTCCAATGTTTTCCTACCTTTTTTTTTTTTTTTCAAAGATTTGAGCTGGATGAAAGAACTAGTTTTCCTGTTATTAATATTCTGTTTTACATTTTTTCCAGTATTCTTTCACCCTTCCTAGATGCAATGCATAATAAAAAAAACTCAAAATACACACGGCCTTTCACAAAACATACATTCAGAAAAAAAGAAAATTTGCTGCAAGTATAAGGAACCTCTCAACAACTTCATTATTCAAAGAACATGACCATTTGGCTTCTTTTACTCAAAAGGTTTTTCTTGTCCAAAAATAAGCTCTAATCCTCACTTTCATTTTGGTTTGAGATGCACTGGGAAATCAGAAATACCATCTAGACCCTACAGAATCAGAAGAAAAATTAGGTGAGCTTACCCTATGCCTTGGCAACAGAAACAATATACTGTTTRCCAAAGCCCATCAGCATTTCAGAGTCAGGGACGTAAATTTATATAATAAAAACTAATGTTATAGGGACGAGGGATGATTATCAGTGAACACTGAACTCACTATGAGAAGTTGCCTTCCCCTTAGCACTGAAAACATGTTTCRCCCCAACCCAGTGTTCACAGAGCTAGTCCTTCCATGGATTACAGCAGTACACAGGCCCTTGGAAAACCAGGAATGGATGGTCATGGATATCCCTAGGCCATCTTTGTGATCTCCTTGATCCCCAGGGTTATGGAAAGCCAATTGGTAAGGACTATCTTTTTCCTTCTGTTTTACTGACAGGTTTTCAAGCTGTTGGAACTTCTGTGAACGTCACTTCACATCCAAACTATGAGGGACTTGCAAACCTGCCAAGAGCTTCTTCATTCTCTACTGCAGGATGAATCCCTACCGTTTCTCAAACTGTGCCTGAGAGAGGTGGTCTGCAACATACTTTGGTCCCTTCCAACAAGAAAGAGTGTGCACTGAAAGCAGAACACCCCAGAGGTCTTGATATTCAACCTTAGCTTCAGGCAACATCTTTTTTTTTGAGTTGGATGCAGTACCTGGCCCTCTTTTCTTACAATCTCTTGAGTTTTATACTTATAATTCTTAGATAACTTTCTCTGTTGACACAAAATGGGATAATATATGGAAATGGGATAATAYATGGCAATTATCCTTTCTTAAAGATTCACTGAATTTGGTCAAGTTCTGCCCACACTGATTAAATTCATGGCTTAGCCTGTAAGGTACAAGTAAACTATTAAAATAAAGAGAGCATTTCTAGATACTATTTGTGAGAGTGTTAATTAGCCTGGCCAAAATCACATCAGGTCTTATATTAGTAGTTCAACAGCTCAGGCAGTCAAGTTCTCCAGCACATTTTAGTTTATTAGCATGCACTTCATTTATCTTCACAGGTCTATGTCCGACAACAGTAGCACATCAGTAATAGACAAATTTAACCACAAAACTGAAGTGCTGCTTTCTTAAATATACAAAGCACTAACACAATGGGGCCAGTCTCTGCAGGCCAAATCCTCTCTCATCAGCACTTGTCAAGTGGAAGTTGTATGAAGACTGAAATTAGCAGTGCAGAAAGTCTACACAAGGCTTTACACAGAAATTTAAATAGCGACAGATAACTAAGCAGTTAAGAGACTATATAACTATATATAGACATGTGTAAGAGTCAAATAACTAAGGTTAAGAGACCAGAATTCATTAAATAAGAAAGAATTAAATATATTTGCAGACTCAAATGAAGCAGCCTTAAAAACATTTGTCTTTCAGCGAGTGCTGATCCAGCTCTGAATGAAAAATCAGAAATTTTCTGGTCTCAAAATATGCATTCACAAGCAATCATGAGACAGATTTAATTTTTTTTCCCCTTTTTTTAGTAATAGACTCATTTATTCTTCGTATTTGCCTTTTGATTTCCAAACCATTAGGGAACATTTAGACTAATTTCCAACCTCGCTTCAGCAGAGCGGCCAGCAAGTTATTATTTTTAAATGAAAACTGAGATTCTCGCAT